TGTAGTTGTATGTTGCTTTAGTGGATCATTATGACTTTGCTGACAATTTAAATTTTAGTGACACTTGAGCCCTCATTTATTTCAATAATTATTATAATATGTTGAGAACTGGGGATATCTGTTTTAAGCTCAGTGGAGTTATAGGTCATTCTTATCATTCATTGTAAGACAATTTTCAAATAAGTGCAAGTTTTGTACTGATCTTTTCCTTTCTAGTATTGTAGTATGTTTGTAGTTTTATGTTGCTTTTGTGAACTTTACTTTAGTCATACTTTGAAGAAAAGTTTTAAATAATTGTAACTTTGTTCTTACCTCTGCCCTTGGAGTGAGTTTTGATTATGTGGATTTCAGTGTATTATGGTAATCATTGCGGTCTCAGTAACCCTCCTTTGCACGATGCATACTTTCCCTGGAAAGTCATTCGTTTAAATTTTAGCAACACTTATTTAAGCCCTCATTTATCTCAATAATTATAGTCACATGTTGAGACCTCATTGCAGTTATAGATCATTCTGATCATTCATTGTAAGACAATTTTGTAATGAGCGTAAGTTGTACTGATCTTTTCTTTTGGGCGGTTTCACTAAAAACCGTGTTTCCAGAGTTCATGTTGCTTTAGTTAATGTAGGACAGTTCTCAAATCAGTACATGTTTACACTTATCTTTTCCCGTATGGAGTGGATTGTGATGTAGTTGTATGTTGCTTTAGTAGACCATTTTTACTTTGAAGACAATTTTTTAAAAATTGTATCTCTGTGCTGACCTTATGGAGTCAATTGTCATTGTAGTTTTATATACCTTAATAAACCTTTATCACTGTCAATGCTTCTAAGAATTATTTTTGAATTAAAAGTTCAGTTCACTTTTCCTGTTAACTTTTCCACTGCTTCGCACCCAGCACACTTTCATGTTGTTGCTCCATAGGGCGCCGCCTAGGGCCCCGGATGCCAGGACTGCCCCAATCCCGGCTCTTATGAGTTTTACGGCTATGTACGATGTGCCCAGGGACGTACCAGTTGGCTGATCACCCGCGCACTTCTGTATAGTTTGCTATTGGCGGGTTGCCTACTCGTAAGGCACCATGGTCAGAGTCGATAGAAACCCCACCCGCACGCCTGTAAGAGGTATAGGTACATCCTCTTGACTACGCCGCCGACACCACGCGCCACCACACGCTGCTGCCCGCCAGCAAGTCGGAGAGGGTGCCCAACTTGAGGACGACATCGACTCCAAGAGCAGCTGCAGGAGGGCAGAGCGCGTTAGAAGGGATGACGGTGAACCTGTCCGACAAGGGCAGCACCTGCAGCAGCTGCACGGCAGGGGAGATGCGCCTTGTCCGAGGGGGCTCAGTACTACTGGAAGTTCAGGAGCGAGACCGTCGACTTCTCCGACGGCACCACGCGCCACCGTTGTTGCAGTACCCAGTGGTAGTTGCCCAGGCTAGCGACCGTGTGGTGACGCTGTACGAAGCACTGCCTGGGCCGGGCACGGGCTGTTTTACGGGCTGCGGCCTGCGGCGCAGCTGCGGAAGATCACCTTGCTGTGGAGGCCACACGCCGACAGCCTCGCGGGCGCTGGCGTGGACCTTGTCGCGGTCTTGGGCTCGGTCCCAAGTGGGTCTTTATGGTCATAGACAACGAAAGAAAGCAGGACTTCCCTCAGCTGGACTCGGTATACTGAGCGCGCTGCTATCGCTGCCC